GAAAGCTTAGCACCTTTTCACCGGAATCGAAGGAGATTACCCCGGAAACTGTGTCAGCATGAATCTGCAAGTGAAGCCAATCGACAGCTGATCATGACGAATCCGCCTTCGTGTTCTGGTGGAACAGACCTACGAATATCTTCAATCAAGTCTATGGCAAACCACATGTGATGTGCATACACAAAAGACTTGAGGTTTGATCGAAATAATCTTACTCAAATATTATATGCATACATACATATATATATATATATATATCGTTTGTAAGATAACCAGAAATTCGGGTCATTTGCCAACGGGATTCAAGGAAAGTGAATTGGAATTTAGGTTGGCTTTATCCTGGAACTATTAATCAAGCAAATCAGCCGAATATTTCAACGCCTGAAGTTTTATGCTCGATATAGTTGGCCAGTCGGAATTTCAAAATTCGATCAGTGGTATTAATCATTTTTAGCTAAAAACTCGTAAATTTCATTTCAGCATAAAACTAAATGGACTAGACTTCTCACTATCCTAGTCTCCGATTGAAATTAACGCATACTTTCACTTTTCTTGTAATATGACATTTCATTTCGAAGACAAAGGTGTTTGAAATGAGTTCTTGAATTGGTCTCGCCAGAATCCGAAGGAGGATTGCCTTAGATAAGTAAAGACTGTTAAAATGTACGAAGAAGTCCTCGGCTCATTGCACACACCAACAGTCCTCACTTCTCCAAGGCACTCCTCCTTTGGTTACCAGTGAGACCAACTTATGAACTCATTTCAACCAACTTTTCATACTAAGTGAAAAGTCATGTCTTAATAAATCATACTAGAATTCTTCAAAACTCACTTTTTAATAACTTATTCTCTTAGATTTTTCTTATTCTTTCCGGTTACCACCAACTAACAAATGAACCATCCTGACCGCGAATCCTCTTCTATTCTATCTCAGTCTATTTGATTGAGTACACAACTGAAATTGGGTAGCTCATAGGATCTTGACTTCAGAAATCGTCTGCCCTCACTAAGATCCAACATCTCTGTAATTTACTCAATTAAACATGACTACAATAAACATCGGCCCACTCCTCCCGACATTCAGCTGTAGTGCAAGTAAGATGAGATATGCTTTCCATACTAGTTGCAAGGACTTGACAAGGTCACGGAAATGCAAAATTCTGGAAATATACTCACCCAGAACAACCCGTCTAGCACTTTGAGAAAGAGACCCAACCAC